ACAAGCAACCAAAGATAAATGAAGGAAATTTAAAAGAACCATATAGGAAAGCTTTTAACACTCATGTTTAAAAATATAACTTCTTTAAAAATATAACTTTCGGGGTAAATAATCTGCTTTCCACTGTAGCGGGAGATTAAAATACTATGTATATTGAGCAAGAAAAAAACTTTTTCAAAAGCTTATGTCAGTTTGTTGGAAAAATAATACTACAAAACTATTACATGAATTTCCTCATTTTAAAGAAAACTATAGATAAAGACAGACAAAAGAAGAGGTGCTGCTAATTTTTGTATAAATAAATAATTTTATACAATGATTTCAACAAACCAGATGGTGAACAATCACTGAGTATGACTACCATTGAAAGTTGGCTTCAGAACAGGTCAAATAAAAATATAATTCAAGAACAGTCTGAATTACTTAGAAAACATTAAGAACTTGTTTCTGAAAATTCTATGGGTAGCCCAGTCGGCATGGCTTAGTGGTTGTGTGAACTAGGAGGTCACAGTTCAATTCCCAGTCAGGGCATATGCCTGGGTTGTGGGCTCGATCCCCAATGTGGGGCATGCAGGAGAGAGTCAATTAATGATTTTCTCTCATCATTGATGTTTCTGTCTCTCTCTTCTTCTTTGAAATCAATAAAAATATATTTTAAAAATTCCATGTGCAAGTGAAACTGCATTTATTGAAGCAATGGTATATGAAAATATGATTACACATTTCCAAATAATAAAAAAAGAGCTGCCAATAACAGAAATTTTTATTGGAGGGAGCAATATAAAAAAGAAAACCAGGATATGTAAAAAGAAGCCCTTGCCCTAACCGGTTTGGCTCAGTGGATAGAGCGTTGGCCTGCGGACTGAAGGGTCCCAGGTTCAATTCTGGTCAGGGGCATATACCTTGGTTGTTGGCACATCCACAGTAAGGGGTGTGCAGGAGGCAGCTGATCGATGTTTCTCTCTCATCGATGTTTCTAACTCTCTATCCCTTTCCCCTCACCCTTCCTCTCTGTAAAAAGTCAATAAAATATATTTTTTAAAAAAGAAGCCCTTAATAAATTTTCATACTTTTTCTTTACTTGCAATACTTTCTCAACTGGTTTATGATTATCCATTCACCAATCAGCAGGTCCACAAATCAGATCAGTTATGTCTCAGATCCCCCTACATAAATAAAGTTGATGTAATGGTAATGATTGTGTTCTCAGAACTAGAGGTTCAAAACTACACCTGGGTGAAGTAAAAGTGAGGAAAGGCCTCCAGTAACTTCTTCTCTTTAGTCCCAAACCAACTTGAATTACCATTCACTTCAATTGGTTCTTTGATAATGCCACTGAATAGCCTAAAGGTCTAGCCTTCCCTCATATGTGTCATACTTGGCACAACATAAACATTGGATGCAGATATATATCTGACAGATATGTGTATGTGTGTTTACAAAAGAAACATAGTAAGACTGTCCATAGCAATACTATCACTATATATAAAAGCCTAAGTGACCGTTCAACCGTTTGACCGGTAGCTATGATGCACACTGACCACCAGGGGGCAAATGCTTAATGCACAGGTATGGAAACATGTAACAGACTGATGAATCTCAGAGGGAAGGGGGAAGTGGGGAGGGCGGGAAGAGATTAACCAAGATCATATATGCATACTAGAGGCCTGGTGCATGGATTCGTGAACTGGTGGGGTCCTCAGCCAGGCCTGTGGGGATCGGGCTGAAACCAGCAGTCCAACATCCCCTGAGGGGTCCCGGATTGCGAGAGGGTGCAGGCCAGGTGAGGGACCCCACCGGTGCACAAATCCGTGCACCAGGCCTCTAGTTAATAATAACCCAAAACTAGAAACTGCCAAAATGGATAGTGGCAGCAGAGTGGATAAATACACTGTGGTATGTTCACTTTAAAATGCTATTCAATAAGTGAGAATTAATAAACTACAATGTTATGTAACAATATATCTCATAAACCTAAATGCTGAGCAAAAGAGGCTCATTTCTCTCTTGCCCCATCCAGAGAACTAGATCCTGATTTGCATAATGAGGGTAACGAAAGAGGCTGTGAGAAAGGTAGGAAGGATTCTCAGGAGGGTACAGCAGGGACACGGATCCTACTAACTGCACCATGGGCTCCATCAAGAAGTCCACCCACAAGCTGCTGGGAATGCCCTACCCACAGATCCCCACAACGGGCCACAGCCACCCCAGCACTCTGCATCTTATCCACATATACCCCCAACCTGTGGCGGGCTCCCTCTGCATGCTCCCAATGGTGGCAGCCAGAGTGAGCTCTAGCAGATGGCCAGGGAGAACCCACAGAAAGCTGGCCCAAATCTGAGGGCCAGGGAGAAACCACAAACTTGAGCTTTCACACCACTTTTGTTAAAACAAAGTAGAGGCTGTCACCACTTGACCTGATATGTTGCAGGATCAAGAAACGGCATATGAGCAAAGAATTCTGCCACAAGAGGAAGAAGCTTGGAGCAAGTGTAACCTAGAATGTCTGAGAAAGCCTCAGAGTAACTAGCAGGGCTAAAGGAAGGTATTTCTCTCCTAAAGGCAGTTATTAAAGACCCCTAGGAGGTAAGTGCTGCTCCAAAGGAGAGGATAGCAACTCATAACTTCAAGGAACATGGAAAATCAATATTACATGACACCACCAAAGGATTACAATAATCTAGTAACTATTCTCTGATATCCTCCATTATACAACATGCAAATAAACCCTCGTTGAGTGAAAGAATGATTAAATGAATGAATACCACCGCACTCTAAAACTGATAATTCTTCACGTGTGTGTGTGTGTGTGTGTGTGTGTGTGTGTGTGTGTGTGTCAATGTAAATTTCTATATAATATAGCTATCTTTTAGAAAAGTGGAACTATTTCTGGACTGAGTCTAATTCTATTCTTGTATTCAAAAGCAGCAGCAGCCCCCAAGCCCCATCCCAAGAATATTTTCCTTTGGGAAAATAGCCAGCTTGTGCTGTTTACTTTGAATTTCAGACCACACAATAACTCACTCTGCTTCGGACCAGATTACATCTGCTATCCAGGTGCTGTATTGTGAGGATCATACATTCAGTCAAAATGAAGACATCACTAACATAGGGAATGGGAGAAACAGATCTACAAGGGAATTTTATTAAAAATATAAAATTGCTTTTTTAACTCCAAGTAAAATTTGGTATTTTGGTAAAGACCTTTAAAGCCATAAAGAGTGTTACTTAGCTCAGGAAATGATCATGCTGTATATAGAAAACTATGGAGATTTCAAGGTCCTTTCATAATCTATTAGTGAACATTAAAAGGTACCACACTGTTTTACACAAACTCCCCATATCCCACTGAAAAAAAACCTTCTGAATTCCAGTGGTACTTACTGAAAATAACTCAACCTGTTCTACTAGAATCTCAGTCAACCTAGTACTCTAAGTATTTCAAATGCCTAATCTAGACTCTAACATCTTTAGGAGCAGTCCATGTCTTGAGATATATCTTCTTAGCCTTCTCTTTCTTTTAGTATAATACTACAATATATAGACACTGTCAGTACTAAACAAATATGTATTTGTTCATTTACTGCTATTAAAAGTTGTTAATCAACATTTTAAGGAGGAAAAAATAAATTAATGAGGAATAAAGGAAGGCCATCCCATCTATAAAGAAAGCAAGAATGCCCTAGTTTTGTCATTATTCAAACTTGATGGTTGACTTAATGTTTAATGAATATTATGGTTCTCTTCTGATTTTATCTAATTCACACGTGGTGATGTGAACAAATAAGCAATGCGTCCTTGTGTTGATAAAAAATTGATAGCCTATGATGCCATGATACACAAATTATTTTAAATGTTCTATTAGGAACTCAGCCAATACATTTTAACAAAAACTGAGGGGGAAGGAATGGCTATGCAATCTTCCCAGAAAGAATCTGATACTAAGTTTGTTTGATCCTGGGTGTTCTTTTTGGCCTTTCTGTATGTGATTCCTGCTTGTAGGTTTTTGGAAGCAAGAAAAATGGAGTTAGCTGGTTCTGTGGGAGTTAGCTAGATACACTGAACTTAAGTAAGCTTCCGTTCTTAAATCACTTTCTTGGGTCTATGAACCTGTCTCCCATTCAAGTTCTTATCACTCTGTAGTGTAACTGCCAAAGTTCTCAAATATCTTCCCAACCAGACCGACTACAAGGTCCTCTGGGAAGGGCTATGCATTGCTGCGATGTGGTGGGAACACAACACTTACTGAATCAATGTTTTCCACCTAAAAACTGCAAGATAAAGCCTAGTGATCAGCCGGGCCTAATCACCTTGTGAACCAATGGAGAAGACAAGTGAGACAGAAGGTTTTAATGTGCATGTTTACCTTTTACTGAGCAGGTATCATGAGACAGAGCCTTTCCTGAACAATGCCTGCATAGTTCATCTTCAGATATGACCGGGAGACTACATTACCACATTTCTCCAAAATCTACAGAGGAATTTCCACATGTTCTAAGACCTACGTCTTACTGTTTTTTAAAAATCTGTTTTCACTTAAGAAGAAGAAAGCATATAAAACTACTACATTCTATTTTCTTACATCCCTATCACTAAAAACAGCTGATTTTTACTTTTTTTAAAAAAATTACTGGCTAGCAATAAAATTCTGAAAATAGAGATTCATGATGGAAACTGACTCAAACTAAACCACAACAAGGCTATTATAAAAATATGGTGTTTAGGTGCTAGCTATTTAATTTGGCTCACAATTTAGACTAAGCATATTTTTAAAAAATATATTTTTATTGATTTCATAGAGGAAGGGAGAGAGAGACAGAAACATCAATGATGAAAGATTGAGCTGGCAACTGGGGACTGAGCTGGCAACCCAGGCATATGCCCTTGACCGGAATCGAACCTGGGACCCTTCAGTCTGTAGGCCAACACTCTATCCACTGAGCCAAACCAGGTAGGTCTAAGAGTATTTTTTAAATTAAATATATTACAATTTTACTCACTTCAAAGCTTCCTCAAATTTATAGATTTTCTTTTGAGTATCTTCTTTTTCTTTATCAAGCTCACTCTGCAAGTCGTGAACCTGCCATGACAAGATGTGGCACATGTATCAGAAGACAAGGAAAGCCTGCTCAAATGAGAAGTACAAACAATGACACAGCAATCTTAAGTCCATTTTCATATAAAGTTAAATTTAGCTATTTCAAAATAGAAATTGGACTAACCATAATGATTTAGCATATAATTATTTTAATACTCTATTTTCAACACCATTTTTCTATCAAAGTTAATAACTGTTTGAGTCTCCCTGCATGTGGATTTCCTGTGAAATAGACTGACATGTAAAACACTCCAAAAGGGAGGAATAACTTGAATTTTTTAAACAGTTACATATTAGCCAAAGGAAAGGAATCTCATACGATTCAGGAGAACGCAAGTAAGAATGTGTCTGTATTCCCAAACCCATACAGGTGGTGATGAAACAGTCTTCACAGGTGATGGTGAAACAGTCTTTGCTGCTGGGAACGATTCCTATAACTATTCACTGAGTTTGGGAGGAAGTCCCCACCATGAGTATCTGTTTCCTAGATGTGGCATCCTTTCAGTAGGTGGGTTGGCAGCATGAGTAATAATAACAAATGAAAATTTTGCTTCACAGAAAATTCTTCATATGCAGATGCAGATGTAAACGGATCTAAAAATAGGAGAAGGCAACTCTGGTACAGCTGGAGGGAGCAGGAGGAGTAAATAGCAGCCATGGCTCCACATACATAGCCATTGAGGGTGCAGAGCAGCTGGTAGGAAAGAGAACTCGTCACGTAGAGGGTGCAGATGCCAGCCAGCTACACACCAGCCCAGGTGAGGCTGAATGTGCAACTGCTGGGTAAGGGGATAGGAGAGGGATGACAAGAACAAAACCAACAAAACACACACACACACACACATACACACACACACACACACCCCACACCTTCCCAAACTCACTCTGAATCAGTGCTAGCCAAAAGTCCCTGTAGTTGGCTATTTATAATACTTTGGATGGAGATCTAGTTAACTCAAAAACCCTATATTCTTTGACCCATTTTGGCTTTTCTCCTACTTATTCTTGAAGTGTATCATCTGTTAAGATTTGGTGCTTGACAACTGCAGGGGGCATAACCTTGCTTCTATTATGTCTCCCAGTGTGGTCTCCTCCTCAGAGCTGTGGTTAAAATCCACTTCCCAGGAAATCCCCAGGAGGGTTTGGGGGTTTCTACTGAGGAGGAGTTTTTCTTCACACCCACAGCCTACTTCTCCCTGTCCTCTGAACAATACATTACTACACGGGGAACTAACAAGAAGCCGCTATCAGAGTCTCTGATGAGTCACTGGTACTGTACACGCTGGAACTGTGCCTCCAATGTGCTGGGCTAGGAGGGGTTTCCCCTGTTTTGGCTGCTCAATTGTTTTCTGGGACTCAGAACCCTGTATGAAAGTATAATTGAGACTTACTCCTTTAAGTGAAAGCTTCAAAATATTAATCATTTTTGAGAAAACTGGATCTAAAATTATAAGGTGATTATGAGTACAAGCTCTGAGTCAAACTGCATGGGTTTGTCCCCACACCTTCACAAGTTACTCAACACACTGTGCCTCAGCTGCCTCGTCCGAGAAATGGGGACAACAGGGAGTATATTGACATTGTGAGGAGTTCATGTTACTCCATGTAAAGCTCTTAGAACAACATTGAGAACATAATAAATGCTCAACAACTATAAAAAATTATCACCTTCTTAGATTAAATACTCTATACACAAACATTTTCTTGAAAACTCAAGGTCATTATGATTACCCAAAATCACAGTATGCCCCCATCCAGTGATTCCCTTAGATGGACTGTCTGTCCTTTCAGAAAATGGCCCCTGAATTGCTAAGAATCTGAGTTCTTGCAAGTGCTTTTTATCCTTCACAATTCACTCTTAATCTCTGTCAGTGTACAGCGGCCACTTCCTGATGTGTGGTCAGTGCCCTAACGCAAGCACCTTGATCTAATCCAGCCGTGGGCAAACTACGGCCCGCAGGCCGGATCCGGCCCGTTTGAAATGAATAAAACTAAAAAAAAAAAAAAGACCGTACCCTTTTATGTAATGATGTTTACTTTGAATTTATATTAGTTCACACAAACACTCCATCCATGTTTTGTTCCGGCCCTCCGGTCCAGTTTAAGAACCCACTGTGGCCCTCGAGTCAAAAAGTTTGCCCACCCCTGATTCTAATCTATACTTCTATTAGTACCGCTTCTATGGCAGGAATGGACCTATCTGAACGGAAGGAGAGCCTTCCCGCTGAGTCATACATACATGTGTCAAAGCACAGCCTTCTGAGCTGGGGTTCCTTAAAGCCAGAAGCTGTTTCTCATTTATTTTATATCCCCAGCACTCAGCACAACCAATACCTGGCTCTCACTAGAATAGCCAACAAATGCTGTTCTGGGTTTGTTTGTTTGTTTGTTTGTTTGTTCTTAATTGAATATATTCTAATCGTATCGTATACTTAAGGGCCGTTTTGGGTTAAATTTCTAGCTTTTACCCAGGTCTCAGATAGTTGTGGGTAACACAAATAATGCTGTCCTTTTTAAAAAATATATATTTATTGATTTCTTACAGAGAGGAAGGGAGAGGGATAGAGAGTTAGAAACATCCATGAGAGAGAAGCATCGATCAGCTGCCTCCTACACACCCCCTAATGGGGATGTGCCCGCAACCAAGGTATATGCCCTTGACTGGAATCGAACCTGAGACCCTTCAGTCCCCAGGCCAACGCTTTATCCAGTGAGCCAAACCAGCCAGGGTGAATGCTGTCCTTTTTAATGTACTGATAGCAGTGAAAAATAAAGCTTGAATTAATTTGCTTGTAACCCTTCCCCCACTATACATTGTTAATATCCAAAATGAATTTTAATAACTTAAATAATGAAAACCAAACCACAAAGTCAAGGATACAGCATATATTCTCAAACATGGAGATTGTACTAAGTAATTTAAGTTTTTTTAAAACATATTTTATTGATTTTTTACAGAGAGGAAGAGAGAGGGATAGAGAGTTAGAAACATCGATGAGAGAGAAACATCAATCTGCCGTCTCCTGCACACCTCCTACTGGGAATGTGCCTGAAACTAAGGTACATGCCCTTGATCAGAATCGAACCTGGGACCTTTCAGTCCACAGGCCAACGCTCTATCCACTGAGCCAAACCGGTTAGGGCAAGTAATTTAAGTTTTAAATAATTTCAGATTTAAGTAGCCATAAACACACTTACCAAATGTATATTTTACTCCCTTTCACCCTAAGAATTTAAGGCAGCAGGAAGTGAGTACTTGTGTATATGAGAAAGGGATTCTGCTGCATATAAGGAAACAGATGAACTGTGGCAGACGTCACAGCACAGCAAAGGGCATGAAGCGGCGGCTGCCCCCACACATCGACTAGCGGGGTCCCTCCACTGCTCCTTTTCATTGCTCCAACTTCTACTCCCCAACATGAAAAATAGGTTCTGGGCTGCAGGGCTTCTAGAAATCATTTGACTGCACAAATTCATTTCTAAACACTTCACTCAAGGCACGTGTCCTTGTAAAGAGAATCAGGCCAGTAGTAGTTAGAAAATACTACACAATTTATTATGTGTAAAGCTGTGGGAATCTTAAATTATTTTAATCTAATTAAAAGAAGTATATATGCACGCTAAACGCTGGAATAACTATTTTTCGTGGTTTTGAACTCTATCAGACTGTATATCTCACTTGTTAGAGAGTTACATCAGAATTATTATAAGTAGATATTTCCATTCTAACACATTCTGGAAAGTCCATGCTTAACATCTGCCTCATGAACTGCTTTAGGTAAACACCACCATCTCTCTCTCTGGTGCCTGTTTGGAAAACAAGCAATGGGTTATTTGTCGGAGGCAGGTGTTTCCTTGCTAGTAAAATCATTTAGCCTCACCATTTCCTGACTTAACAGATTAGGACACTTCATCAAACAATGACATTTCGTTTTACTACCTATTATTTGTTTGATGTTCAAAGATCTTAAGAGCAGGGGATAGCCACCAGAGATCAATAGAGAGCCTGAGATAATGTGTGTGCTTAAATTAGGGACGGCATTGGATGCGTGTCTCTCACCTCAAAGACAAGCTAGATTCTCGTGCTGCTTTCTCATTGGCATGAGGAAATAGTGTCATTCAGATGGCATTTCCTCCTCCTGCACAGATACTCAGAACGGAGTTTTATACCCAAAGTTATTGGCTGCGCACACCTGTCCCACCTGTAACACTGTCTAGCAAACAAAAGCCCTACACATCCCACTTCACTCTCCAGTTACACAGTCCAGGGCTACAGAAGATTTATGTCAGCTCTTTGAGCATCAGAAGGGATATTCCCTGAGGGGGGTGCAAGACATCAAATCTTCAAGGGCTGAGATCACAGCAGGTTTAATAAAGACAGAATAACAGATGTCAATTTAAAAGGGGGAGATTACGGAATTAATTGTAAAACAGAGGGACATGCTGAGCAACATTTTCTCTTCTAATATAAATAATGTGGGAACATATGCAAGATGCACAAATAAGCTTATTTTTCTTCTAGAGGCTGCCATTGTTCTAAACATGTCTTATTTACACTGAAAACAATTAATGCACTTAATTAGTCCCGTTATTAAAAAAACTAGGCCCGTTGATACTGTGTGGAAAGGGGGAGCTGTAGCCAGAACGCCTGATGGCAAGGGTTCGGCCTGCTGCCTGCAGTGAATGAGAACAAGAACGGCGGGAAGGTTACTGCAAAGGATGAACTGGGCTCTCTCATGCTGTTTCTTGTTTGTGTCCATCAGGCAGAGGGGCTGATCCATCACTTTAGTTCACCTAGCGGGTGGGATAGACACCGAGCAAAGGTGGCGGCAGGAGGAAGACTCTGGCTCTATCTCTCTATCTAACTGCCCTCAGTAGGACTTACAGGAGTTTGGGATAGAAACACATTCTTTTAAAATGAGTTCATGTGCGCCTTTCTCCTGGCCCCCAGCCCACGCGCTGTCTCACAGGTACACAGATACCATCTCTCAGGAAGAGGCAGAGTGGGAGGCTGGGAGTGAGGGGCCAGGAAGGTGTTCCTTAAAGGACGGGAAGCCAGCTCTCTGGCCAGAGAATGAACAATGGACTAAAAAGCACACCCAGAGGATGTGGCTCCTTCTACATGGGGAGCGAGTCTTCTCAGAATGCAAGCCTTCTTTTGGTAAGTAAAATATGTATGAGCTGCATGGCTCAACAGCAGAAATGGAAAAATTCTACATTTTACTGAAAGCAATATTTCCCTCTCCTGTTCAGATGCCATTTTGTAGACATAAAGCACATTTAAGATCTTGCATTGAGTTGTATTCAAACTGCAGCAAGAAAAAAAAAACTTCAGCAATAAGAAAATTTATTATAATTTTAAAGAGCACATATTCAGACCAATACATGTCCGTGGAAATATACACTTTTCCAAATGACAGAAACAGTCTTCTTCCTAGACAGTAAGCTCCTGGAAAAGAGAGTCTATGCCTAATTCATCCTCTACCCTCTCACCAGTCCCTAGTATGATATTCACCAAAGAAAGCATTGAGTGACTATCTGCTGAGTGACTATATGGGTACATAAGATATGATATTACAGTTTTTAAAGCATTTTGTGCTTTAAAATCTGTTTAATTTTTCATTTGTATGTATTTTTAATTAGTTGAAGGGTTGACCTTTTTTTGCATTTTCTATTATGTGTGTATTTTACAAATGGCTTAATTTGATATATGTTAGAACAGCAAATCATTACAAAAGCAGCAACAAAATCTTTGCTATTTCAAATACTCTTTTACTTTCTATGTTATATAGCAAACAAGAAATTCAAAACTGAAGTTAGCCTAGCTCAGTGGTCGGCAAACTGCGGCTCGCGAGCCACATGCGGCTCTTTGGCCCCTTGAGTGTGGCTCTTCCACAAAATACCGACTTCTGTGCATGGGCCACAAAGTTTCAATTGCACTGTACATGTGCACCCTCACGTGGTATTTTGTGGAAGAGCCACACTCAAGGGGCCAAAGAGCCACATGTGGCTCCCGAGCCGCAGTTTGCCGACCACTGGCCTAGCTGGTGTGGCTCAGTGGTTGAGTGTCAGTCCATGAACCAAGAGGTCACAGCTCGACTCCTGGTCAGAGTACATGCCTGGGTTGTGGGCTCAATCCCCGGGAAGGGGCATGCAGGACGCAGTTGCTCAATGTTTCTCTCTCATGGATGTTTCTATCTCTCTATCCCTCTCCCTTCCTCTAAAATCAATAAAAAATATATTTTTAAAAAACCAAAGTTAAGTCACAAACTTAATTCTGCACTTTATTGCTGAAGATGTTAATAGTATGTCAAGGAGCCCCAGTTATTACTGATGACAGGGATACCAGCTTATTTCAGGAGAAATATTCATTATTCTAATTGACAAGAAACAATCACTAATAAACTTTTTAGTAGACAACTCTTTCATTGTTTTATATTTTGTGGTTAAATATTTAGAGTTCTTAGTATATGTATGATACAATAAAATACAAATGACTCCCATAAACTGTATCACATTTTTTAAATGATAGAAAATATAATTTTACTCTTTGCTCATTAAATATACAAGTGGTATTTTAAAGTTGATATAACTAATAATAGAACTGAAGCTGTTTACAAACATAAAAAACAAAAAAGCAAAATTTGATTACTGGCTAGCTGAAATAAACTTAGAATAAATTATTCTTTAAGAGCTAGAATGCATGTCTTTATAAAAATCAACCTTCATTCTTAATTGCTTCATTTTCTATTTCAAATGTAGCTTCCCAAAAAATATATTACCTTTTTTTCATAGGTGCGTTTTAAATTACTTTTCTCCATTTGAAACTCATTTTCTTGATCCTGTGAATGATAAATATTTTTATTATACTTAAAATTACTACTAGAATTAATAAAATTAATAATCTAATGAAATAAATAAATCTACTTGATGACAAACTTTGAGTTTCACATATTAGTAAGAGCATCCTACCAGTCTAATTTTCTAAACAGAAATATGATTAGCTTTATGTTAGAGGTCATAAAACCTTAGTTATCTAAAGATATTACTACTCTTAAAAGTACATACTTTATAGTAGAAGAGAAGCTTTCTGACCCTTAGGATTAGGAGATTACCTATAATGACCAACTGAATTAATACAGAAATAATAAATTTGAAGTTATACTATATATTAGTTCCTGGCATTTTTTGACCATGAGGGGGAAAGGAAAAATCTAATAGGAGAGGGAGGGAGAGGGAGAGGGAGAGGGAGAGGGAGAGGGAGAGGGAGAGGGAGAGGGAGAGGGAGAGGGAGAGGGAGAGGGAGAGGGAGAGGGAGAGGGAGAGGGAGAGGGAGAGGGAGAGGGAGAGGGAGAGGGAGAGGGAGAGGGAGAGGGAGAGGGAGAGGGAGAGGGAGAGGGAGAGGGAGAGGGAGAGGGAGAGGGAGAGGGAGAGGGAGAGGGAGAGGGAGAGGGAGAGGGAGAGGGAGAGGGAGAGGGAGAGGGAGAGGGAGAGGGAGAGGGAGAGGGAGAGGGAGAGGGAGAGGGAGAGGGAGAGGGAGAGGGAGGGAGAGAGAGAGGGAGAGGAAGAGAGAGGGAGAGAGAAAGCATGAGAATTGGCAGATAACTCAAAGGGAGAAAATTATTCTTTGTACCTAGAGGGTACTATGCTAAGTGAAATAAGGCAGAGAAAGACAAATACCATATGATTTCACTTACATGCAAAATCTAAAAAAGCAAAACAAATGAATAAATAAAAGAAAACATAAAGACTCATAGATACAGGAAACAAATTAGTGGTTACCAAAGGGGAACGGGGATGGGGAATGGACAAAATAGATGAAAAGAAGGGAAATTAAGAGGCACTACAAACTTCCAATTATAAAATAAATAAGACATGGAGATGTAATGTACAGCATAGGGAATATAGTCAATAATCTATATTTATAAAAGCCTAAGCAACCGTTCGACCGTTCGACCATTTGACCAGTAGCTATGATGCACACTGACTACCAGGGAACAGACGCTCAACGAGCAGGCATGGAAACATGGAACAGACTGATGAATCTTAGAGGGAAAGGGGGAGGGGAGAGGGCAGGAAGAGATTAACCAAAGATCTTATATGCATACTAGAGGCCTGGTGCACAGATTCGTGCACCGGTGTGGGGGTATCTCGGCCTGTTCTGCAGGGATTGGGCCGAAACTAGCAGTCTGACATCCCCCGAGGGGTCCCGGATTGTGAGAGGGCGCAGGTCAGGACGAGGGACCCCACTGGTGCATGAATTCATGCACCGGGCCTCTAGTAGTGCATAACTTTGCATGGTGACAGATGGTAAGTAGACTTATGGTAGGAATTATTTCCTAATGTATCTAAATATCAAATCACTATGAAGTATATCTGGAACTAATAAGATACTGTATGTCAATTATATGTAAATACATAAATATATAAAAATAAAAGAATATATTTAAATAAAATTTATTTTTAAATTTAATTTCAAAAGAAAGATTATTCAAATGAAAATTATTCTTTATTTCCTATATCCCATTAGCATCTACTTTTGTTAAAAGAAGATAAATAAGATGAAAAAAACGATACAATGTGCAATAAAAGACTCAAAAATAGCTACTTACATTTTTAAGGAGTTTTTTAAAACTCTTATTTGTACATATAAATCAAGAAAAAGGAAAGTGAGGATGGAGGGAGTCAATGGGGGGGTAAAAGGAGCACATCTGTAATACTTTCAACAATAAAGTCGAAAGTGAGTTTCAGCCATTGTTCTGTGAACAAATACAAGACCCACCTGTAGTTGTTGCTTTCTTTGAAGTTCTGATTCCTGTAACTGCAGTTTTAATTGACAGACGTTCTGTTCTAATTCTTTAATTGTACCAGAGGCCTAGAAGGATTTTAAGAATAAAAATAAAAAATTTGTACCATTTCACAATTTCTGGTTGAATAAATTTACCTTTTCCACCTTGAAGGCTCACTCAAAATTAAAATGCTCTGTAAATTTGAATTTAAAATGTTTTTTAGAAATTAAAAAAATTCATCGTTTAAAGTAAAAATATATATTAAATTGTTTAGTGTTTGAAGTTATATAAATATAACAGTAATAAGAAATAGTTGGTTTTACAGAAAAACAGTTTTACAGAAAACTTTTCAAATTATAAAACCAAATCCACTGGAACATTCAATTCATGAAATACCACATAACTGACTACCTGAGAATTGTAGCTTTGGGATTCTCTTTGCAGAAAGTGTCAATTCTCAGACACAACATGTGTGAATGCCAGTGGGGTGTCTGTGGGCTCACACATGTGCATAGGATGTTAAGAAAACTAAAGCATAGCCAAGATGTCAAAATAATAATAATGCATATATTCACCCTAAAAATGTATTATTAACACAACTGAGCATTTCTTTTCAGATTTTTATGTTTCCTTTTATAAAAATGTTGGTACAAGGGTTAACTTATTATGGCAGAATACAGTTTATTAAATATTATGTCATGTTATATATTAGACATTTAGTATTTTAAGTATTTTAAATGCCAATAAATATTACTTCAGTAATTTCAAAAATAAAGCAAAGGAGAGATTAATTTCCAATGCTAAATAGCTACTACATGGCTACCTATGGTTACAGGCTGAGTAAAGCTACTTTGTATGATATATACATGTAAAGTAAATTACTTTGTATGTATATATACCAGCATATATATCATACCTTAGAAACTGAAAGTGTGTGTTCCTTTTTCAGAAGGTTTATATCAGCTTCATACTTGTTTTGTAATAGCTTCACACTTTGCTCATAATCGTTCATAAGATGATCTTTCTCTTTATGCAGTGAATTGCGCCTAAAAATAAGAGAATAAAATATACTCCCAATACATTTGAAATCAATTCCTAGAATGGAATTTTTAGTCAACCAAATCCAAATGTATTATCTTTCAGTATGTCAAATAATTATCTACATTTTTATAAACTTTTTAAAAAGCATTATGCTTCTTATGTTAAGTGGGACTTTAAAAAAATAAACAGATGGCAGTGTTTAGGTTGGAAACCTCCCAAAGTTAATGTACAAGGTGATTAATTTTGGCATATACTTTACAGAGTTGATATCAGTACTTTACAGCCACATCTGAGAGATATCTGACTTCAGACAATACCTTGCCTTTACTTCTTGCAACTCACTACATGTTATCTGGTAACATCTCTCAAGTTCCAATTTTTCTTGAATTAATTTCTGCTTCTGTAAGTTACTGTTTTCTGCTTCTCCAGTCAGCTGCTGGACACGGGACTCCAGTTCTTTCACCATCTGGTTCTAAAAGAATAGGTCATTGTTAAAAAAGCCTCTGACTTTGTAACACTTCAGTATCATTGAGTAACCTGAAGAAAATATATACCCTATTAGAGATAATACAGAAAACAAATGTATCATAACAATATCATAAAAAATTAAACCAACCTCTAAGTTAACCAAGTCTTTAAAAAATGCTTTCTACCATAAAAGATCATGATGTTTATATGCTTTTAGCCATTCATTCATTCAACAAATTTTATTGAAGTCTCTATCCTCAGGAAGGTTCCATCTTCTTCATGCAACTTAAGAAGTTTATATTGTTAGCTGAGCACTTAGCAGTGTTTGTGCTCATTTGAAATTTTAGAAACTTTTTGAAATTATAAAAGCAATGTAATAATACTTTTAAAAGGTAATTCATAGCCCAAGTATTTTAATTCAGGAGTTATGAGATACATGTATCCTACCTAATAAAGAGGGAATATGCTAATTGACCCTCACACCATCACAAATATGGTGGCACCCACCACCAATAACGAGGGAATACACTAATTGACTGCCCCACCCTCAAAGGTGGTGACACCCACAGCCAATAAGGAGGGAATACACTAATTGACTGCCCCGCCCTCAAAGGTGGTGACACCCACAGCCAATAAGGAGGGAATATGCTAATTGACTGCCCCTCCCTCAAAGATGGCGGCGCCCACAGCCAAAAAGGAGGGAATATGCGAATTGACTGCCACACCCTCAAAGATGGCAGCGCCCACAGCCACAAGATGGCGGTGCCCAGTCCCCTCAGCCCTGCTGGGGCAGCAGGCATGCGGCAAGGCTGGGCTCGCCCCCAGGGTGGGCCCAGCTGCTCCATGCACTTGCCTCTGGAGTCCCCCAGTCCCCTCAGCCCCCCAGCCACCCAGGGCTGCCCGAGGCGCAGGTAACCAGGGCCAACTGAGCCTTGCACTGCAGAGGTGTGATGGGGTGTTGCCTTTCCCTGATCGCCTGGTCACCTCCCACCCCTGAGGGCTCCCAGACTGTGAGAGGGGGCAGGCCGGGCTGAGGGACCCCCCCCCCCCCAGTGCATGAATTTTCATGCACCAGGCCTCTAGTTATCATATAAGTGTATAGGGATATTTTTAAACAGTTGCAATGTTAATAAACATAATTTTCTTTTGTTTTACTTTTACTTACTATTTTATCAAAAGCACTTTATTTTTCCAGTCTTCAAAATTATCACATAATTAAAATCATTTCCCTATTATTTGATGCTTGTTATTTTGAATTTTTCAACTTTATAGAACTAAATACAGGTGTTTATGACTATGTACTCCATGTAAAATTAGGATAAGCAAGCATTAGCTAAAAGAACTGATTTTTTTTTATTGAAGTATACTTGATACACTATTCTATTTATTTCAGGAATACATCACAGTGATTTGATATTTATATACATTACAAAATATCAACTATTTTCATTTAACAATTGCATTTCCAGTAAGTGTGAATAATTAGAAAAGGTTAGAATGATGTTCCAATCAGTATATTTTCATACTCTTTCTAAGATAAACATTTAAGAAAAGTTTAAGCATTACATAATATTGCAATCCCAACTTCTTACTGACCTTTCTTCATTACGATATGAATTAGGTACATAATTTAAATTTTGGTGCAATAGCTTCCAAATCTGAGAAATGGACATAATTATATCTAACTTAAAAACATGATATATAAATTTATTTTTGAAATACATACAATTTCTAGCTCAGAGCCCGACACATATCTGATGCTCAGATTTCTTCTCTGTATAAATTGACTGCCCCGCCCTCAAAGGTGGTGACACCCACAGCCAATAAGGAGGGAATACACTAATTGACTGCCCCGCCCTCAAAGGTGGTGACACCCACAGCCAATAAGGAGGGAATACACTAATTGACTGCCCCGCCCTCAAAGGTGGTGACACCCACAGCCAATAAGGAGGGAATACACTAATTGACTGCCCCGCCCTCAAAGGTGGTGACACCCACAGCCAATAAGGAGGGAATACACTAATTGACTGCCCCGCCCTCAAAGGTGGTGACACCCACAGCCAATAAGGAGGGAATACACTAATTGACTGCCCCGCCCTCAAAGGTGGTGACACCCACAGCCAATAAGGAGGGAATATGCTAATTGACTGCCCCTCCCTCAAAGATGGCGGCGCCCACAGCCAAAAAGGAGGGAATATGCGAATTGACTGCCACACCCTCAAAGATGGCAGCGCCCACAGCCACAAGATGGCGGTGCCCAGTCCCCTCAGCCCTGCTGGGGCAGCAGGCATGCGGCAAGGCTGGGCTCGCCCCCAGGGTGGGCCCAGCTGCTCCATGCACTTGCCTCTGGAGTCCCCCAGTCCCCTCAGCCCCCCAGCCACCCAGGGCTGCCCGAGGCGCAGGTAACCAGGGCCAACTGAGCCTTGCACTGCAGAGGTGTGATGGGGTGTTGCCTTTCCCTGATCGCCTGGTCACCTCCCACCCCTTAAAAACATGATATATAAATTTATTTTTGAAATACATACAATTTCTAGCTCAGAGCCCGACACATATCTGATGCTCAGATTTCTTCTCTGTATATCCCATTCATTCTGCCTCTTTCCTAATGAGCCCTCTGCTTGAGGGGCTCCTTTCAAAAGATGGCGTCAATTTCCAAACATACATTCTAATTCTCCATGTTTCCTAAATATATCGTCTTATACAAAATAAAACCGGTACAAAGGAAATTTTTAAAATTAAAACATACTGTCAAGGGAAAGCCTATAGACATATATGAAATACTTTAAGGACAACAATATTTGGTCAACATAACCTTTTTAAAATTGAATACAAAGAACAAAGAGATATAAAAATAGTGGAGGCCTCAAAATGGGGTAAAAAGTAATTCAGAAAATAAGATGCTGACATAGAAACGTATTTCAGGCTGTGACAGACAGTGTAGAAGGGGAGTTCAGGGTAAGTAACAACAGCATCAGAGAAGGAGCAGCAACTGTACAGTCAGTGACGAACATTACCTTGGGCACAGAGTCTCTGTTCCCATATTGTGAACTCAAAGGTAGCACTCGGAAGACTAGGTTGGAGTTCTTGAGTGGACATGGCTTGTAAGCAGAAGTGATAATGGGCATTAGATTAGTAATTCAAGTTCTTGGTTATGGGAAAATGGGACAAATATCATTTGTGAGATCTGGAACAAGAAGAGACAGGGAGAGCTACTGGCAGGTCACCGGAAGAGCCCGGAATGCGGCAACAATGGCCTGGACACAAGTGGTAGCTGTGGAAACAGAAGGGAAAGAGAGCAGATCCAAGATATGTTCAGAGAAACAAATAATGTGATTAAGTAAAATACTAAATGAATGAAATGAGAAGTGGCAAAAATCATAGATTTTCCAGGTTCAAAACCTAATATGCCAAGAGAATTGGCACATTGAGAATTAAGAGAAAGTTTAGAAAAGGGTATTATTTTTATAGGAAATATAGACATGATTTTCAAGAAGTAACAGGAAATTATAAAATATCTGACAGGCCTTCAGGTATAATCAATAGATAAAGAAATGTAGGAGTTTTACATACAAACTTTGTTTGAAATCTTGTAAGAGTTAAAAATTAGAAAGGGTTACTATTTGGCAACTATTGAGAATCCAAAGTTCAACTTCTATGGCAAAAGTAATAATACATTTTATCTTATTTCATAAACTTCTTAAAATATGACATACATACAAAAAGATGCACAAATTTTCACTATGTATTTTTATAATTTTTTACAAATTGAAAACAGCCACGAGTCACTACAAGAGGTAAACATCCCCAGTTGTGTCCTGGTCGGTTTGGCTCAGTGGATAGAGCGTCAGCCTGTGGACTCAAGGGTCCCGGGTTTGATTCCGGTCAGGGGCATATGCCTTGGTGTGGACATAATCCCCAGTGGGGAGTGTGCAGGAGGCAGCTGATCAATGTTTCTCTCTCATTGATGTTTCTAACTCTCTATCCCTCTCCCTTTCTCTCTGTAAAAAAATCAATAAAATATATATATATTTTTAAAAATCACCAGTCGCTCTGAAGCCTGATTGGTCATTGTCTACACAAGGTAACCATTATTCTGACTTCGATCACAAAAAAGTAACTTTGCCTCTTGTTGAACTTTCTGTAAATGAAATCAGAGTATGGACACTTTTGGGTCAGCCTTCATCATGCTCATTTTATGTCTGTGAGATTCATCCATGTCATGGCAAATAGCAGTAATTTAAACTTTTTAAGGCTATATAGAGTATTCCATTGTGCAAATAACCTAAAATCACTTATCCATTTTATTGATGGGTTGTTTTCAGTGTTTGGCTGTTAAAAATAATGTTTCTATGGACACTCTCATACATGTTTTATGGTATATACGTGCACTTATTTATTTTGGTTGTACTTCCTGTAGTGAAATTGCTGAGTCATGATTAATTTCAAAACTATGTCCATGCAAAAGCCTGCATTTAAATGCAGCTTTATCCATAATTTCAAAAAACTGGACACAACCAAGATGTACCTCTTCAATAGGTAAATGGATAAACAAACTATGGTATATCATATAATTGAACATTATTCTTCAGCAATAAAAAAATGAGCTATCAAGCCACAAAAGACATCAAGAAATCATAAATGTATAATTGCTTAATGAAAGAAGCCAGTCCAAGAAGGCTACATACTGTATGGTTCCAATCATATGACATTTTGGAAAATATGAAACTATATAGTCAGTACAAAAGATCAGTGGTTGCCAGGGATTCCAGAGAGAGGGGCAAGGGCTAAACAGGGTGAAACACTGGTGACTTTTAGAACATTAAAAATATTATATATGATACTATAATCATGGATGTATGACAAGATGTATTTGTCAAAACCCATAGAATTTTAAAGTATAAAAAGAATATTATTTTGTGCAAATAAAAAAAACAAACACATTTGGAGTTTGGGGGATCCAAGGAAAAAATGCAGATCGTGATAAGAGAATCCAGTTATATTAAAAATATATGGGGGGAAAAAACCTCATTGAAGGAATGGGGGGAAAGGTGATGACCTAAGCAGTTTGAAATGAGTGGAGTCTCTAAAAACAAAGGCAAAAGGAAGTGTCCATAACACTGTACACTAGTTCAGTGGTCACCAACCGGTGGTCTGGGGACCACCGGTGGTCTGTGAGGTCCAAAAGTTTGGTGACCGCTGCTCTAGTTGACAAAGTTGGTTCCCATGGGAGTAGGAGTAATTAACAACTCTGACACTAGCATACACATGTACTGGAACTGAACAATTAAGTAAATGGATGAAAGGCAGTGGAAGCCAAGTTTCCACGGTTGGATTGAGAATTTACATATGCACAAAGGGAGAAGGCTGGAATAATCCATGTGGTAATGGAGGAGAGTTACAGAAATCAGTAAGAAATTATGTTTAGTTTAATGTAGATACAGATGGTTACATATAGAACTGTTTAAAGATATGCATAGACACACAGGTTAGTAATTCACATATACTCCCTTGCTTTGTCCGGTTAGAGGGCATAAAAAATGTCATCCCAACAGTAATAAGCATACCTACCACACAGATCTTAGTTTCTAATACCATTCTCCATATGATCCCCCATCAATGGGGGTATGTCAAAGCGGTACAGGAGCCTAACGAAAGAGTTCTCAATGGCCAAAACTGGAACAATTTGAGCAGCAAAATAAAGTAGTATTGCATTATAATCCAGATTATACAATAAAAAATATCCATGTGTTTATACTGATATAAATAAATGACTGAACAAATGGGAGAGAAGAGACAAATCTCCCATGGAGAAAAACTCCAAATAACTTACGTAGAAACGTCACACCTAAGTATGGAAAGCAGAATCCCCCACTTGTTAAGCATGGGCTGCTCACAGGAACTTCCTTCCGAAGAAGACAATATGGAAAAGTAGGGAGTAACTTTACAGTGGAAGGTCTAACCAATACTACTTCAGCCAGGTGATCAAGGATAATATAACAGTGTAAGTCATTAACAGTACGTACCCTTGATATGATGTGATGAGATGAGCACTTAACCTTGTGATCTTACTGCCTCAACCCATAACCCCAGTCTAATCATGAGAAAAACATGAGACAAACTCCAACAGAGGGGCATTCTACAATCGACCTGACCAGTACTCCTCAAATTGTCAAGGTCATGAAAACAAGGGAAAGCTGAGGAACTGTGTCAACCTAAGAAGACATGAACACTAAATGTAATGTGATATCCTGCACGAGATCCAAGAAAAAGAAAAACTAAAAAAAAAAAAAAAAAAAAAACTGAATAAACTATGGACTTTATCCATCTTGATGGATTTATTGTAACAAATGTACCAAAACAATGCCAGATGTTTCTATGAGGAGGAATTTGGTGTGAAGTATATAGGAACTCTCTGCACTCCCTTCTCAATTTTTCTGTAGATCTAAAAACTGCTCTACAAAATAAAGTCTACCTGTAAAATGGTCACCCTATTCAAAATGATGAACTGCCACTATTAGGGGGTTTCTTCTTTCTAAATATGAGGTTGGGAGAATAAATGTGGTGACGACTATAAAATGACAAAGTCTAGCTATATCAGACAGTAAATTAGTTACTCTACAGATTACTGATGTCACTACTAACAATAATAGTTAAGAATGGTTACCAAAATATTTCAGGTGCTGAAGGCCTTTTGACACTTTCTAAGGTGGGAATTTGAATGGGAAAAGAGAGCTCATCTTTATTTTCACTGCCTTACCTGGCCTTCAGCACATCCCTTCAGTATATCTAATCAGCAAACCAAGGCATCATTAGCAATACCTATGACCAATAATCACAGATATTTGTATAGTCCACTCCAGTGTTAGGTAATTACTAAGTATTGTTTATTCCCAGCAATATTCATAGGTTCCAAGAGTTAATAGGCCCACTAGTAAATTTTGATATATACTACATTCATTTAGAAGCACCTCTAGTGCTCTATCATAACTTTTATTAACATTTTGACAACTATAACTCAATTTTTTTTCTTTGTAATATTATATATGTTATTAAATTTAAAAATATTATTCTGGGAAGGGCTGAATGGACTTCACAAAATTGCCAGTGGGACCCATGATACAGAAAAAGATAAAGAACTCTACTAAACAAGCCAAAAAAAAGTTCAGTGAAGCCACCGCAAACTTTCATGCGTCCAACCCTGAGAGAGATAGAGCCTGATGTTTTCCAGCCTTCATCTCCCCAAGTATCTAATAACTTTGCTATAATTTTCATATTTATAGTTCTAATATTGTTTTTAAAATCCAGTGTTTACATGTTTAACTATGAGTTTTGCACAAGAGATTCCCTGCCAATACCCAAAGTCATAAACCTAATAATCTATACAATGTCTGCTTACAACAAACAAGACTCAACAAAAGAAGAAAAAAGCCTGGAAGAACCACAAAACCCAGAACCTAATTCTCAGTGACAGTCTCATCTTTCATCTGAAGCCTGGCCTTGAACTCCACCTTGTTTAATTATTAACCAGGAGCTGCTCGGCAAGGGCTGTCTAGTCTTGATGATTCCTAAATGCAATCCTGCTGACAGACTCTGTCCATTTTCCTCTATATTTATTATTATCTAATGACAAGGTCTGAATGCTCATTTTGAAATTCAACTTTCATTAAAAATAGTTTTTCTGACAGTGACCTCTTGGCTCCAAAGTGTCACTTTTCTTTACATCCCAACTTCATAAAAATTAAAAATGCCACTGTGAAAGGCATCACTCTCTTCCTATTGTTTAATAAATAATATATAACAATGCAGTAAGCATTTTAAGCAATCACATGTTCCACAGATTTCAATTCTAATATTACTTAATATATTTAACTCACATTTGTTGAAAATTTAGGATGTTGAGATGACAAATACATATTTCAGATATAAATTTGGTTTTTGTTCAATACTTTGAATATCATCATTATGCTGATTATTCAGCAAATAAATTCTTGATATTTTTCCCCAATAGACCTGCTCTACCTTCAGCGTTGTCCAACTCACCAACCTGCATCACCATTTGCCAGTCCTCACCTCCAGATGGGCACCCAGGTCCAAGCCACCACCTCCCTTGCCTGAACGTCTATGGCAGCCTCCTAATTGGTCTCCCTGTCCCACTGTGGACCCTGCTTCCCACTTTTGAACCCTGTGAGCCAGACCCTAGAGCTGATCTCAGGGTCTCTGAGAGATGCCTGGGAAACATCAGATTCCACAGCTTTCAGCTCAAGGACATACTTGGACCAGCCTAGCTGGGCTGGTGGGCTGTGGTGCATGAGGACTGGGTTCATGCCTAGGACACAGGTTCTGCCATCCCACAGGTAGTGCCATGTGTTGGGAACAAGGCTGATGAGGCACACTTGCCTGGATGTGCTGTGCCCTGGTCTGTGTGCCATGAGCCTACCTGTTCCAGGCTTGTGTGCCTCAGGAAGTCAGCTGGGCTTCTAAAAGGCTGGTGACACTCCCTTCCTCCCTCAGACTGCTCACCTGCCACTAGGTGCTCTGTAAGGAGGCTCTTCGGGGACCCTGCGTCCTCCCTGATCTCTCTGCTGTGCGTGACCTCCTTCTGTGTCCTCACAGGAAGGCAACTTGGGGGGTTTACCCATGTGATAACTGTGTCTAGTCCTTCAGTCAAGATGAAGCTACTGAGATCGATCTTAAAGTGGTCACTCTACTCCTATCTCCCCATTTTCTTTCCTTCACACTAGTATTAAATATTTTTAGAAAAACAAGTCTTCAGTTTAAAAAGAATAAAACAAACAAATAGAATGAAAGAAAAAATTATCTCTAGGCGGAAAGTCAGCAAAAAAACAAGACAAATTTGTAAACGTTTTTGGGAGTTAAGCAAAGGGGGCCTCAAAGAATCCAGAGTGAAATCCACAGCCACTTCAAGAGACTGTCCACGTCACATGTCAGCCTGTGTCTATGGAAAGTGGAGGGATTTCTCCTGGTTCTGTATCTCACTTACTCCCAGCACACATCAGGGAAGCAGGGCACATGGAGAAGAGAGAGGAGTGTCTAACAACGGCAGGAAGAGGAAAAGGACTTGCCGTGGCCTGGGTCTGCGCCGTGTACTCGCCCTCCATCCTGCGCAGCCGGGCGTTGGTGTCCTCCAGCAGCTCCTGGATGCTCTCCGTGTGCCGCTTCTGAAGGTCAAACTTCTCCCTCTCCATCTCCGCCACCGCGTTGTGCAGCTGCACCGGAGACAAAACCGGGCTCTCTCATCACTGCTGCAGAGCAGACTAGTTCACAATTCAGAAGACATGTTTCCTATGTGTCTCTACTTATATGTTGTCCCAAACAATAAAATGTATGAAAGTCATACATGTCCAAGTAAGGTAACCTATAAAGAGCATGATTAAGAAATTATTTTTTTCTTTACTTTCCTAAATTGGAGATTTTAATGGATCAACAAATATTAAAGGAATTATCTACTTCTGGTAGCAACAGTAAATAAATACACAAATAATACACTGTCTCAGCTAAACAACACTAGGATTAGCCTGAATCACACAGAAATATTTACAATATTATTATTGATCAAGAATATTATGTCACTGTCTATAGTTTTATATTATCTGCATGAAATTTTGCACAAGAGTAATGTTAAAATCTTTATCCTTCACCCTACCCCCAACAGGACACTATTTTTATCCATTCCATAACCTACACAAAAGCGGACACAAAGATGACATTATAAATCAAATAGAGAAAGAATCGTTAAGAACTGTAGACCTCATGTCTACAGGTCTTTCTTTACAAAGATTATACTCTAAGTATCTATGGAACTAATGGACAGCTTCCAAAGGGAATTGAAAGTCTGTGTTCATGGCCTGTGGGCACTCCTTCCCTTATCTGAATGGGAGTGGAATTCTGAGTGTAGCTCCCGTCCCCAGCATCCAACCCCAGGCTCACTTGGTTAAGTTTGAAAGGTGCATTTGATTTCCCATTTATGAGCAGGAGGCAGAACAAGGATATGACAGATGCATGGAAGTTCCTGTTTGACTAGGAAGACGTTGAATGAACAGAGAAACCCTGAGAGATGATGGAAACCAGAGGCAGCATGCAGGCAATAATTATGCTAATTATTGGTAAGGGTCTCAAGAACGTCCCTCTACTTTCTAGCTGAACAAGAAGAGGATGGCTCAGTAATAGCCACACAGAAGACCCTTAGGTTTCACAAATTTAACACATGCAGCTCTGACTCTTTGTAAGTGGTCCCCCAAATCCCTGCTATGTTGTATTTGTGTATTTGCCAAAGTCTACATTTTAAACTGGTGTCAGTCACTTAGCCGGTCCATGAATGTAGCCAAACCCACAGCACCTAAATTTCAGTGCTGCTTCGTAGCTGTGGACTGACGGGCATGGTGAGTCTGATAAAGGGCTCTGAATAAGTCACTTAGAACTTGGTGGTTATATTTATGTTGCAGAGGTTTCTTCATGTTTATGGTCTCTAAAAGGTCCTAGGACATATGCCTTCTGACTATCAAAAAATCCACTATTTTTAGTAGCCCATTAATACAGAGTGATTTTTTAGGTGTACGCCACAATGCTTAATAACGCGTATGTGCCTGTTGAAGTTGGCAGGGTGTCTCTAAGTCTTCAAAACAAACCCAGGGAATTTACACAGTTGAGCCTGCAAGGGCAAAAATGACACTGGGAAATACAAGTATGCTATAACTTAGCTGATTCACTTAAGGATAAAACAGGTGTATCTGGTCTAATACTCTGACTTTCTGTATATTTTGTGAATATCCATTATTTTTATAATTAAATGTTACTTTGAATTTTCTATTACTATTTTATTTTATGTAGCTTACCTTTTTTTCCCAGTCATTATTCAGAAATTCTGTACTTTGCTCACACATCTTTTTCAGCTCTGAAATCTGGTTTTCTTTAGTCTCTCTGATAACTTGACAGTCACGTATAAGGGTCTGAACTGTCAAAAATGATAAAACACAGTTAAACCAATTCTACCTACCACATAAGAGCTTGATGATAAAAAAAAAATATATAGTGCACCGGTTAGATAATTCCATTTTTTACCAATCTTCTCAATTCTGTCTTGTTAAAATATCTTACTTTTTCTTCTCTTTTTCTCCTTTTGTGCCACCAGTCTTGGTTGAACCCATCATTACTCACCTCCTAGACGGCTTTGACAGTGTGCTGGCCTCAGGTTCACTCCCTCCACTGGGCCCTACTCACTCCTAGTCCCAATTCCAGCATCACCTTCTTTGTGAACCTTCCCCACCCAGGCTCCTCATCTTGCAGGACAGAAGGAAACTCCTCTGTGTGCCCAAGGAACAGCATCTATTTCTCCATTAAATCGCTTATTACATTATATGTTATAAAGGTTTCCTTGCCTATGTCCTGAGGAGAAAGATATTTCAACCTTTTATCTACAGAGCATAACAGTGCTGTAGGCAAGTGCTCAAAAACATGTGTCCTGACTAAGGAACCCATTGTCTCACTCCACTCCTGCTGCTAGGTGCTTTAAAATCATTGCCAAGGTTTATGTTACTAAAATAAAATATGCTTTAATTATATAAAATATTCCTCTTATAAATCACTTTTTAAAAATTTCTTTTAAATAAAATCTTTTAAAAATGATTTAAACTGTCACTGATTTAAGCAAAAATTTGCTTAATACATAACCAATGGACATAAGACACTGCGGGGGGTAAGGGAGGCCAGGGGATTGTCAAGGGCTGGGGGAAAAAAGGAGAAACAAGTAATACTCTTTGTAATAATTTAAGCAATAAAAATATATATAAAAAAATTTGCTTAATATATTATGTCATCTGGATGGTAAAATAAAGTCAGCTGTATGTTTGCTTAAATGTGGCATTTTCTTAGCTTACTGAATATGTTTTTACTCACTTCAAGACAACAAAATTTAATTCTCTAACTATGTGTGGTGATGGATGTTAACCTGACTTATTGTGGTGATCATTTCACAATATATGCAGATATCAAATCACTGTGTTGTATAGCTGAAGCTAATATAATGTATGTCAATTATTCCTCAAAAAAAGATAGCAACATTTTCAAAACATTTACGTAGAAATTTCTTTCACTCTTATATCTCAACTATGTAACAAATGAGGGGAGAAAGAGAAGAATTCAAATTAACCTAATATTAGTCCTTAGCACCTATAACATATTATTTCACAATTCCAAAATTAAACTAAGATCTATTTGCAATTCAAAAGCCTTAAAAAGTATTATTTTTAAACCGTTGGCATATTTAAATTGCCTGGTTTAAATCAGGGTAAGAAACAAAAACCTAGAAATAAGTTTAAAATAATTTTGTAGTCATTGATATTTGGAGAAAGAACCTGAACTAATTTCTAAATAAAATTTAAGGCTGGGAATAAACCTAAAAATAACCTATTTCATTAAGTAATTTATATGTGTAAGTGCCATCTTAAATTTTAAGGGCGGCACCAGTCTCTCAGATATACTCAAGTCTGGTGATGGTTACAGAGCGAGTAAGTTTCATATGGAAACCCCTAAATGAAAACCTTCTCTCCTCTTATTCATCACCTGTATTTTATTCACCAAATTCTTCAAAATTTCTTCTTCAGTCCCTTTCTCAGTATTCCCACTTCCATCATTCAGAAATTCCAGGTCCTTATCACCTTATACACAAAATTACAGAAGCATGGAAGTATAAACTCTCGGAGGTGGAAGGAACTTCAAGCATTATTTATTCCAACCTCGCCATTTATAATGAATAAGCCAAGGCCAGAGACTTCCCAATGCCATATTAGCAGACCCTGAATAGGAGCCTGGAATTGGAGCCAGGTTTCTAATAAATGAGATATTCATTCTCTTTTCTTTCCTTTCTTTCTTTCTTTCTTTCTTTCTTTCTTTCTTTCTTTTCTTTCTTTCTTTCTTTCTTTCTTTCTTTCTTTTCTTTCTTT